TTATCTAGGTAGTTATAACTTGAAGTAAAAAACAATGTGAAGCCTACATTAGTGCATCGGTTATTTAAAAAAAAATTGGCAGTGCCTTCTAATGTTGGAGAAATACAAGGCAGTGTTATTATGCACTAGGTTTCTTCAGAAGATGCTTTTAGTCGAGAAGTGAATCAGGAATGCTGTATAACTTTCAAGTGTAATTTATGCGTCACCTCCTACTTTATTCACAAAACAAAGTTTTTCAGAGTTTTTCAAATATTCATTAAATAACTGAATTGTTTAGATCATTCTTTTGTTATTTCCCTTAGTGAATATTTTTTTTTACGTTTCATTTCGTTAGTTTACAAAGAGTCGCTAAAGTTTAATTTTAAGTTTAATGAAATAATTTTGTCTAATGCATTCAATAAATCAGGCATAAGACAAAAAGTTATCTGAAAATATGTTAAAAATCTTTGTGGAGGTAAATAGATAAAACCTGATGCAAATGCATAGGAGTGTATCAAATATTGACAACTGATACAAAAATCTCATCGTTGCTTTCTAGTGCATTATGTAACTTAGTTAGGTGGGGGTATTAGGAACCTGATACCAACTCAAACATAAAATAGATAACGAGACTTTGAAATAATCGAGAAGATTTGTAGCTCAGGAGGATTTTGTGCTCAGTAAGATGCTTCGTTTAATTAGGAAGTTTTCATAGTCCTTCCAGACGATCTTTTAGAGGTAATTCAAAACGAAGTTGGTTATTGAGATCATGGATAAATAAAGCATGCTTCACAGTTAATCCATTCAGGTCTTAGGATATTGCAACACCAGAAAGAAAGTACTGGAATAGTAAAACGGCATTCTTCATTAATCTGTGCGTAGTACACCTGAATTTTCTTTGGATTGTGTGTCGTCAAATAATGAATATAGTAAATGTTGTATCACTGACATCTTCTAGGCAAAGTTCCAAAACTTCTACTTTTGATTCAGATATAATTTCAAAACTTTCCCATCTCTCTTAGGTCAGATAAACTTAAATACTATTTGAGTACTATTTTTTCATTATTGTCTTCATCATAGTAAAAGTGAACGAAAAGCACTTAGTCATCACCTAGCTGCACCTGAAACTTTTTTCGTTTTTTAAGCAGCGACCATCCACTGCTGTACACAATAAGGAGTTAAAGACTATAAATTGTCCTTATTCCGTCACTGGGTATGTATTTGATTACAGTGCCTTTCAACTTCTGTCAGTCTTTAGTATAATGCAACCAGCTTCTAAAATCAAGCATTAGAAAAGTTTATGACAGATCAGAGCGGGTTGTAGTTGCACTATACTGCGGATAAAGTGATGCTTGGAAATGTAAGCTAACCGACATTAAACACTGTTTTGGCTGTGAAACTCGACCTCTTTGCATGATCTCTGAGGTTTGTTCTAACGTTATAGATTACACTAAATTAGTTAAACGGTTTTTAGCTGCTGACTGATATCAGTCACTAGGGCAGTCTGTCTTTCGATCATTCAAAGCTCTAAAAATCCAAAAGCTAAATTTTATATTCGGTTGCAATTTAATATTTTACCGTTAGTTTCAAAACACATTTTGAAATCGAATACTTCACTATTAAATAATACTATCATACAACAAGTCCGTTTATTCTATGCCTGAACATATGGGAACATTTCACTTTCAGACTGACTGCTTACCATGATTATGTAAAAACATTTGTATGAATTCATCATGGTGATTATCACTTCCATCGAAGATTTTATTACTAGTTATGCTTAAGTCCGGAAAGTAATAAGAATACTACAAATTTGTGTATCGATGCTATGTGGTAGCTTTTCTGATAAGTTTGCATAGGGCTAGTGCTGTATAATATGTTGCTAGGTGATTAAAATGCATAAGAATAGGATAGTTTATTCGTGAATGCATAAATATCAATAGATTAACAACAAGTGAGATACCATTAGCTGTTTACTAAATCCAGGCTGTGTCAGAAACGTTATTCACTTGAAAGGGATATATGCTCTAACACACGTGTGCCATACCAAATAAGTAAACTTTGCATAGTGACAACTTATTGAAAATATAGGTTACTTTGGGGTTAAATATCAGTGCGCTGTCTTGTCACTTAATCCCTTTTCATTTGAAGACAACCTTACAACCAAACAGACCTTAAACCTTTAAAGAGCTACCGTGTTTGCCAACTACTCTTGATTTTTCGCCTTTGTCACATGAACAGCTTTGACTAGTCATATGTTTTCTTGATACAGATTTGTCCTTCAAGGTTGGTAGCTGAATCACTTTACATGATTTACTAATAAAATGGGCAATAATCGAACTTGTAGAGTGTTATTCAACTTAATTTTTTCAGTGGATAAACTGAGTTTGACCCAGAAACTTTTATTATTGTTAACGAAAAGTTTTCCTGGTTTTTTATTCATAGACCGCTTAATGACGTCCTTTCTAATCAACTCGTTTCTTCTATGTCGACATTAAAGCGATAACTAATCGCCCAATAGTCTCAACAGTTTTGTATGTGAATATCAGTGTTTGAAAAAGCAAAAATTAATTCGGAATTTTCGGATAATTCTGGAATACTCCTTCTGCACAGATATTTTTTTCATTTGTATATTTAGATAATTTTTCGAGCACTGATTTAACATTTTTGGAATCACTACTTAGAAAGAGATGACTCATTGTGAAAGTGTTAGTAAACTGAGTTGTTGAAGTGATGAGAACAAATTTTTTTTTGTTAATTGTTACATTGTTTCTTAATTTCAATTCGCTTTGTATTTCACACTGAATAAGCATGAATAAATCTGATGATGAGAAAACTTTAAATTTTAAAATATTTTACACTAGAAGACTACTTGGTGAAAAGCAGTTACGCTGGTTTTGTATACATGTTATCATAAGTGTAAAATTAGTGTGCGAATTCTAATCAGTTCATTTTAGACCATACCCTGTGTGCTATTAGCTGAATGGCCAACAGACTAGCCTCGTAACTAGATGGTTCTGGGTTCGATCACTGGTGGGGTCATGGATTCGTAGTGATGAGTAATGCCAAAATCAAGTTAAGTTAAACTTTAAGCACCAATAACTACCAATCAGCGAATGACCTTCAGCGAACCAGTCACATGAAACAGGCATTTTTGGTTATGAAAAACATTTATTTATGGAAAAAGTGCATAGAAACTGCATAAAACCGTTACACAGGGTATCTTTTTCTGACATATGATAGAAATATCTCTCAGTTTAGCATAGGAGTATCAGATGAAAAGTTACACCACATTCTGTACATATATTCATCCAGATAACTATAAATGACATCCTTTTGAGATCCAATTATAGCCTTGATCCTGTTTTTTAATCTTCCCCAAAATCCTTCTTTAGAATTGGTGTTTATCCCTGTAATGGTATCCACAAAATCATTAGAATGGTTCACTATGTGATGAATATATCCGAGGGATGACAGGGAGTTATAACCTTTCCACTCATCTGTGTGTATTAGATATCCCTTTTTCACCAGTCGAGTGATAATAGGTACTAAGGTAGTTGACGTTCTGTCTGCTATTCTCTCAACGAATCCTTTCTGTAGAGAGGTGTCAAATAAGCCGATCACCCGAACATTGTCTGCTCGCTCACGACCACGGTTGTATTTTTTCTTCGATAGGACAGTTTCTTCCACGTGTACGACGACATCTCCTCTTTCCAATAACAAAGTAATTCTCACAATTTTCCATGATGCGACATGTCTGCAGTGCTAGCACCACTGAACTGTTGACACGAGGTTATTTTCAGTTTCAGCAACTGCACCTCTCACAGGCTGTTTTAAACCTAGTAATTAGAAATATACAAAATCTGGATTAAAAACAGATAGGACCTAGAAAAAAATATTCCTACGAAATAACAGAATCATCAGCTCACCTTCCTTGACGCTATTCCGTCTCAAATAAATTGCACAACGATGGACATATCCATCAATCTACCTGCTGAAGCCGTTAATACTCATGACACTTCTACCTGAACAAATCCTTTCCTTCCTAAGAAAACCAAAATCCAAGCAATACTAGAAAACCTTAACTGCAAGTGAAACTGCATTAAAGCAGGCATTTGACTCGAATCAAGCGCAACAGAACCTTCAGCTCACGTGGATGAAACTCCCTTAACCACTCAAGGTCATTCGCTGATTGATCGTTAGTGGTGCTTAAAGTTTAACTTGGCCCAAAATCGATCGAAATCCAACACTCCCTAGTTTTCAGTGGCTCCATAAATCATGTCAGTGGTCTGTTGGTAGAATACTCACCAGCCTTTCATATGATAAATTCTCGACTGATTCACTTCCATAGCTCCTCTAGTTTACTAATCAGTAACAACTCCGGAAAATAGTGAAGACTGCGCGTGAGGCCAGCAATCCTATCCTATTTAAAACAAAACGGAATCTACTGAAACTGAAGATTTATTTTCTCTTCGGAACTCAATCAATTAGAGAAAGAAATCGGTACTAACGAGATCAACTCAACTCTACTGAGTTTACTTTAACTGAATGATTTGATTGAAGGTAAGTAACGAGGAAGGTTAAGTATGAGGAGTAACGAGCCACCAAAGCGCCTCAAAGAGTCGTTCAATATTAAATTTCCACATAGTGGAAAAACGCATGATATAACAGTTAACAGATGAGTTATGAATAAATCTGTGTCATTATGTTCGAAATTAGGCAATACGTTCGACAATAACCAGTTGCAAGTTTTGTTGGAATTAATATTCTGATTTAATAACTGTTGCAACTCAACTTCGTATTTATACTTAGTTATCCTACATCTATCCAATTAATTCATTCACTCTAAATGGGAGCAGTCCCATTCAGATGTGAATATGAGATTCGTGCCACTAAACTTAGTGATTGACAAGTCAACAAATAAGGAAAATCAATAAATTTCGCATCAGGTTCATGCAACTATTCCTCATTGTCTCTTTTTCATTTATTTTGTTTGTTTTTTTCTTTGATTTTTGTTTCAGGAACAATTAAAATTGACTGGGAAACTGGTACACAACTCTTGAATGGTGTTAACTGGTTAGATAACTGGTTAAGATTACGTAAATTAGATAAGCATAAACGTCCATTGAATATGTTAATGCAAGTTGCAAGTCTGCTAGCTACGCCTAGGCAACAGCTTTTTAAAGTTAGTTTCAATAAAATGATATTTATATATGCATTATTTCTGATTCTTTTGATAACATTTTTGTCTCTGTTTGTCATTTTACCTAAAAAATGCGAACCAAATATAAATGTAATAATGGTACTAATTAATTGAAATTTAATAATGCTTTTTGTTTTAACTTGCCAACCAACATTTCTTTTAAATAAAAAAAACATTATTAGAATCTTTTCAGGCATAGGTTTATTAGCTGTCTACTAGTAAATTGTAGAGAAATTTGAACTTTCATTTCTAGTATTCTTATGTTGGCCTAGATTATTCGTGCAGTGTGTTTACTGAATGGTAGTTGATATAGTCATGTAGTCATGACTGATGATGAGTCAAGTGTGTGCTAACTGTAAAACATATGTAAACATTGACGCGAATGAGTAATAAAAACAATTTAAGGGTTAAAAAGAGTCGAAAATCGGTTAAGCAAATAATCTAAACTATCTATTATCTCATGTGTGAGAAAAGAAAACAATCTCCAAAGCCTAATGACTTGCTTGGAAGACTGTTGTTTGTGTGTCATTTCATAAAACAAATAGTTTGACATCTTTTGTGTAATGAAAAAGAAAGGTAAACATTGATAACAAACATAATTGGTTAAAGGCAAATAGGATACGTACAATTTGGATACTATGGAACAGTATGATTCCATACTACATAAGTTTATTATTTCAGTGTATGTTGAATCAAATACACGTATCTGATATGAAGTTGATTTTACGATTTCATAAAAGTTTATATAAAACAATACTATTATTCGTTCCTTGGGTTTTCAGTGGATTATAGGACCTCACTGTAATATTGTAATCACACTTGATACTCTGCCGTCAATTTAAACTATTTCCTAGGAGTTTCCACTGCCTCTTCATATGATCTTCTCCATGTCATTCTCTGACAAACGCACAACTCTTCGCTTCCCATCCGGTCTATACTTGAGGGTCAATATGGCATTTGATGTCTCCTAATAGTCTCCTCAGCGTATGTTCAAACTGCCTCCATTTTCTTTTGTATATTTTAGGACAGTAAGTTCTTAGATGGTTCGCCGCCAAAATTCCTTGTTGGCGGTTCCTTCTGTGTGGTCACGTGATCTTCAGTATTAATCTAGTGAAAGTAGCTGTTACTTGATGAAAGTTCAAATTAGCTTATTGAGAATGATTTTGATGAGGCGCATACAAACTCTCTAAGGCCTATAGAAGCATTGATTTGGCATTAGCGTCGAAAAAATTTAGATCTTGTTGGCTTTCATTACGTGCATCGTTTAGCAGTAAAACCGCAGGTGGAAATAAAACAAGGACATCTCTAAAGCTGTGACAAATATATTCAACTAATGGTAAAACAGCTTGAGGTAGATTTAGTTTGACAAACTGACAAACCGCCACTTCAAGTCCTGTCGTGACTCAGACTTCCACTCAACTTTCAGTAATTACCCATCACACAAATATTTTTAAATCAGTTTCCTTACATATACATACAATTAAATTAATTTTCCGTATTTTGTATCTTTATATTCTACTCGTCATAATTATTTTATGACCTGTAATATCTATTTCCTTGGAATATTTATGTGAAAAATCAAGAAAATCAAGGCAGATCTCTAAATTACATATACATTAACCAGAATGAACATTTTTTAATGAAAACCTTCAAAATGAAACTACTGAATAACTTTGTTACAAATTGACATCAAGTTCATGAGTGTCCACGGTTACACAACCGTCCCACTATAATTTTAGACTAATCAACACTACAAACTAAAGCCACCTTGTGCAATCTAACATCTTGAGACGGTTTCGAAAGTGGAAATACATATAAAGATATATATACATATATATGTATTCCATTATCTGTCAGCCCCGCCCAGGCCATCTGAAATAAGAGAACAATTAATTATTTATTAAAAATGACGTTTAGTGAGGATGGAAAAAGAATGATAAGTAGAAAATTTATTGATCTTGTTCACATGTATGGAGTGAATTGAACAAAACTTTTGAGAAAACATCTGATTTATCTGTAAAATAAATAAATATCTTTAGACACTACCGTTAGCTTATATATATACATATATATATTCACATCCAATAACAGTATGTCCCGATTGTTGTATAGCGTATTTATTATCAGTAGTCTTCTAAAGTATTCTGAATTTTTTCTGGGGAGAACGCTTTGAAAAAATATAATAAAACCTCCAAACGACTTGGTGATAGTAAAATGCTGAACAAAGAACTGTAATTAAAGTGACCACCTTTCATTTGAGGAACCTGAGCTACACATCATTCAGGATGATTAACAAGAAATAACAATAATAATTAGTAAATAAATGGAATTAAGCACAGGAAACAGATATGTTGGCTCAGGAGCCTAAGGGATAACATCTTGGTGTTGACCTTGATTTCTAATTGAAAAATACACACCGCTGTACAGATAGCTCTATCGCACAACGCCAAAACAGAATGAATACTGAGCACTAGTAAATATCGAATAAAAATAACACTTGAAAAGGTATGCAGTATACTTAATTTATGCATACCGTTGGACATCACAGGAACGATGAATGAAATAATTCAACTAAATAGACAAATAAATTATACACGAAAATTGGATGGAAAGATAAACGAAACTCTAATTTATTTCTATTCTTTTCCTATGGTGCAAACTGAGAACTGAATTGATTAAAGCTGAAAAAATTCTGTGGATACCGAGTGTATTTCAAGTGGTTCAGATTTAAAGTGCTAGTTTCTAGTGATATTTTGTCTTCATTAATTTCATAATAATCATCTAAAGAATTACATACGAATAACATATTGCAGGTAAACAGAAATTAGGATTTGATAGTCACGTCGACTAAAAGTGCCCGATTAGCTGGTACTGGGGTTAGTTATACTACGGTTACCATAGTGATAAATTCTCTTACTTTAGTCAACATCGGTGAGAATTTGAATTCTTAGGGAAGTATAATTTTTACTGGAATTATACACGTGAAGTTTTTACGTGGCCAAAGTGAAACGCACATCACTGAATAAAAAAATATTAGTCAGAAATTGTTTTGTATCAGTCAGTATTGGGTAATAACAATCCAACAGTTTTAGGGTCACTAGACCATTGAAGCAGCAGTGTGTAACGGTATGCATCAAAATATCAGTTAATGACTGTCTGGTTATCAAAATTGTGGTATAAGATCACAATTAGCGGATCACTTTGATCAGTCAAATTTGTTATATCACCGAAAAGTGAGGCAGCTCATTATGATAGCACTTCTTTGTTAATGCTCTGTGGATTGAGTGTGATCAACAATAAACTGTGGCTTTCATTTACATACTCTTTTTCACTTGTGTATATACCATCAACGTTTGAATATGTTCCTAAAAACTTGATACTAAAGCAGCCTATGTTTTTCTGACAGAGATTTCCATACCACTGGTAATTTATGTGTCAATAAAGATGTAGTGCGTAAAATTAACTTCCAAAGGTATTTTGACCACTGGCAGTGTAAATAAAAGACATCAGATCTCTTGAATAACGAAGAATTATATTCTTGTGGCTGAATATTAACGCACTTACCTAGCAAGTTAGTGGTTTCAGTGAAGCCATGAATTCTAACCGCTGAGTAGTACTCTGGTTTTTAATGGTTCTTTGAATAATATCGGTTTACGATGACATCTAACCTGAAGTCAATCAATTTTCTACAAACGTAAACTTGAAAATAAATCCATGGGAGCTGAGCCTACTCAACAATTCTTTAACATTTAACTCTAATTCCTCATCCCTCTTTTTGTTGTTAAGATGCAGGACAGTCGTGTTAAGTTTTAATATCAAAAGAAATTCGTTTCTGAGGGCTTCATTTTCTACTACCTTTTTGTTTTCCACATATTATTTGTCAACTGATATCTCATATTCGAGAATCATTTCAGTTTTAAAGAAGGACTTTTAATATTTGGCGGTAGATTTAAACTTTATTCATGCATTATTGGTTGTCATATGTGGCCTGTTGTAAATCATTTGTTTGTTACCTTAACTATAAGCAAGTAAATCATTTATATAAATTCAAACTGTCGCGCGCGATAATTAAACAGAATTCATTGTCACCCGATATACCGTTTTCTTTGATACAAACGGTGTTAGGGAGACATTACTGAAAAAGAACACATTAGTATACATACATTTCGATAAAAGAAAGACTGCCAAACAATGAGAAGAGGATCTGACGGGAATTAATGTGAAGAAGTACCCTGTATTTCTCTTATATAAGGTGCAAACACTCATGCGTCTGAAAGTATTTGAAAGTTTATTGAATGCATTTTCTTTGAACTTAGTGTATATCTTAGAATCAGTTAATTTCACTCAAATAAGTTAATAACAGTGGAGGCTCATTTTTTGTTTTATGAGATTTCAGACTACTACTAATTACAATATATCTTGACGTAGTTATGCATTCAAAAAGAAACCAAATTATATTATCAAAGTGACAAAACTTTCAGTTGTTTCAAACTAATGTCACCTGGGACTATTCTCCTGTGAGGCATTTTACAGTTATGATTCTAGTAAAACAATTTGAGAAACTTTCTAAACCATCAGTCTGTGAGCTCTACAGATGTTCGTTTAAGTAGTTCAATGAACTGTCTTTTATCTGGTGCATGTTAGCATAGCAGTGAAAATGGATGCCTACTAACTGTGCATTTTCAGCACAATGCAATGAATTAGTCAGCATAGGGCCTTGGTCTTTTTAAGAAACATATAAAAATATTTGGACAAATGAAAAAGCATTTACAGTTCTGGCCTGATCAAATGATGTTTTATCCTAGTGCCAGGTGCTTAGAAGCAGTTTATTGCGACCTTTTGATTTAGATCTCTGCACATGAGTACATTTTAATGTCACTGATAGGGATGAAAACCAAAGCCGCACTAACTGTCTTTTATGAATGCTTCTGATATATTGGTTCAAGTATATTTCAGATATGTGAAATAGTGTAATTAAATGACAACTGGTATAAACATTCAGAATTCCAAAATTGATAAACATTGATCCATCATCCAACTGCACCGTGAACACTTTCAAGTCATTTCAGTGAGTATATGGAACAAAGGAATCTTGACATTCTGATAATTCCAACCAATAATCTACACCTGCACTGATAACTCAGGTCAATAATTGGAGAGTTTATAGGCTGCAGTCATGTTTCAGTCTCAGTATCTTGAAATGCACAACACATAATTCAGTATTTTCAGTACCTAAAAATCTGACGATTTAATTATCATTTGAACAAATATTTTTGAGCAACTATGTGTTTCAGTCATCTAGTGGAACATAGTGGACTCTAGTTCTATTTTTAACTACTGTCAGAGATGACACAAACTGAAATTTTAAAAAAATCATGTGGTGTTTTTATGATATGCCAAGATTTCGTTTCCAGCCAACAATTTATGCTGTTGTTGCACTTTTCTGATTAAATGAAGCAGTAAAAATACTCTTACAATATTGAAAATTTACACAACTATAGTATGATTTAAACAGCCTAAACAGGTATAATGTTTTTCTGAGATTACGCGTATTCAGTCAAGGAAATACACGGAAGTCACTAGGTTTATCTGATAACGGTTCCTTATTGAGTAACTGGAGTTTTATGCAGTAAGAATAGTTGACGTGCAGCCAACGTATACAAGAAGTGATATGCGTATACTCTCTCTCTTTCTATATATATATATATATATATATATATGTCTTGTGATATAAATAATTTGGTGTTTAGTTTTTGTAAATGTTTTCCTTTTCTTAATACAGCAGTGTCCGCATACCTTTATCTTTTCTTTAGTCGTTTAATTTTCAAAGTGTAACAATGATAACAACTGGTAACCGTGATGACTATCACCGTGGCCATTAAATATGTTAGGTATAATATGGCAAATAAGATGTTTACAAACACCATCACAGTTGCAGGTGAAAATTTCATTGTGGTTTTTTATTTAGAAACCATAATGTGTCCTGAGGACATAGTATATAATCTACGCGAAATTACAAAATTTGTTCATGACATAGAACTATTGAAACTTTAAAGTTTTATTTATTTTTATTACACTCACTGTACATCTTATCATGAATCGACTGGTTGGACAATCCTTGAAAATCTTATCTAATTTTGGAACGTTTTGTCAGTACTACAACCAAGACATCACAAGGGAACATTATATCGTGTTAAAGAAAATCGTGTATCTACAAGAGTTAGTATTCACAGGTAACAGGATTCCACTTCATTATGGTCAAAGTACTCCTCTCCTAAACTAAAGGTACTGGGTCCCACCCCTGATGAGTCTGTGGACGGGAACTGGGACAAAGCAACTATCCAGTGCCTCTAACTGATGCCTGTTTTTGACTAATTCTATAACTGAAAATAAATGTGTTGATTGTTACTGACTCTCTTCCTACGAATAACTGTTCATTTGACCTTTCACCTTAAAACTGACCTGATATCTATTTACCGAATATAGATAGGTGTGTATTTGAAGACGAATAAAACAATAGGCAAGTTAAGTCTGTTTGTTTATAGATCGATAAACATTTTATCTGAACCAATAATACAGCAGAAACAATGGAATAAAACATATTTCTCACTTTAAATATGAATAAAATTCTTCCAAATAAAAACGGTTTAAACAAAATAAATGAAAACTTATAATTTAGTTAATTCATTTAGAAGGAACTCTTACTTATGAGTACAATAAGACATTCACACATAAACAGTGCCGAAGGATTATGTTCACCTAAAACATATGCAATTTAACTAGAGTCTCTTAAAAATGTAAATATATACGTCTGTGGCTTAATTACATAAAGCTTACTAGCCATTCAGGCAAGCCAGGCTTGATTCGAGACCAGAACCTTACCTGGTTTACCAGTTGTTATTACTTCTGTAAAAGAGGGAAAGTTAGGCTTGCAACCCTATTTTTATGTATACGTGTTTTACATTGATTGGTCTTAAAAGTGTTATGCATTTAGTCGGTTAAGGTGTCGGGTAACTTGTATCAGTCAGGCTTCAGCATGTTTATGAAGCTAGAAGACTCGCTATCACCTTTTTGATCAATTTCGATTATGAAACATCTTATCAGTAACTTAAGACAGGCTGAATACTTGTAGCATAGACTTACTCCAGCATTTTATGGTTGGCGAATTCCATGTTGCCTGCTGACAGTTAATTAGCCGTGTAAGATGCAATTTTCACTGACACTTTAGAAATTCAATTTTGGAAATGCAGAAAAAGCTCTGCTCGAATAACAGTGTTCAAGATAGCATAGTCATTTGTTATTGTATAAGACTTTTCTTCATTTCACTGATTGTTGTCTAAAATTAAGGTCGTTCAATTCAGTTCAGTTCATTAGCGTGTTATACATCAAGTAATTGAACTGCGTGTCTTCTAGGTTAATTCTGTAACACCTCATAGTTTATTAGAAATGATGGTGATTTTCATTCAAATGAATTGTCGAATCCATTGTTTGTATAAACTACTAGTTAAAATAGCTAATCTAACTAAACTACAGAGCTTGAAAGAAACCACAAAATTTCTCAGCGTCTGATGCTAAAATGTGAAGTAGATCAGCAAATTAGCTATGCTAGATCATTAACTAATCACTATAGACAAATAGTCTCAGTTCAGTTAAAACTGTCGGAAGTGATTGTGGCTTTCACTTAAAGACAAGGTCCCTATTCGCTTCGTTTTAGGACTTGTCGATTGCAAATACTTGTATCTAAAAATCACCACATATTGTCTCAAAAAAAGAATGCCTTCCCTATTGGCCTGATAAACCAACCTATAAGAAATAGACGCTTTTGTGATTTTTCTTACCGGCAAATCCTAATTTTTTTAGTTATATCTCGACTTAATCGACAGATATCGATTTCGAATCCCACTGTAATAAGTGCCATTTGCCGCAACTCAGCGTCAGGAAATCAATCCAGAAAGCTTACAGACGTGTACCGGTTGCTGGATTTGATAAATGTGCGAATTATCAGCAAGCACTTACCACATTTGTGTGACAGTGTTAGTTAGGAGCAATGTTCGATTCACGTCAAACTGCTTTTTTCATCACTATTATTCACACGATCTGTATTTCATGTTTTGTGAAGTACTTCCCCTATGGTTTCAGTATTGTCAAAGTATATTTTGTGGTCTGGTAGTAAAGCGCGTAAACCTCTGGCGGAAACTTTTCAGCATTTTATTTTTTAGGAACAGACTGTCAGTCCCTTGGGATACTGTCTTTCATTTGAAAAAGACCGGTGTATGTAGTAGTGGATGTTTTAAAGAGTACTCTAATGCTGAATGTATTAAATACTTTCTTAAAATTGTCTAGTGTGTCTGACGTGCACAGAACAACAGGTGTTGTGAACAGCGTGTTTGGAGATTATACATTTATTTTAGGAATTTCAGTCTGGTTTAATATTTTTATTTTCACCTTTTTATCAGTGTGTGTACTCTTTTTAAGAGATTAAAGACAACTAATAGATTTGTGTTAATGAGATATCTAAACTTTTGTTACAGTATGTTGTTTAGACATATTAAAGTGGGTGTTATCTTGCCGTTCTGAAACTGATGTAAAAACAGTACTGAGAGATTTAGTTTTCAGTTTCTTTAAAATTGAATGGTGTTTTAATTCTGTAAACATCACGGAATTATAATTTACTTATCTCAGAGATAGTTTTGATTTGTGTATGATCTCAAAAATAAGAATTTTCGTGATTTTTCGAATTCTGGTTTTTGATTACTTCGATGAAGCTGCATCGTTTAATTTTTCATTTACTGAAAAAGATAAGTTTCGAATAGTTAAGGGTAGAGTTAGTTTTACTGTTTTGTTTATGTAATTCAGCTAAAGTTTTCCGAAAAAAAAGTAACTAGTTAACAGTTGGCAAAAAAAATAGAACAGTCACCATCCATGCACTGAAGAAGAGTAAAGCAAATAGTCCAGTGAAGACTCAGTTGTACAGTTAAAGGAGAAGTCTTCAGTGGTCCACAGTATCTCTAGTAATGTATCTAGCGGAAATTGACTTCATCTTCTGAGACTGCCTGGAGCAGTGGCAATCAGTACCAAAAGATCTAATCTCTGTGTGAAGCGAAAATTAATTCACAGTCTACTTATACGTGTGTAGTTTCCAGATACGTTTCAATGAATCTTCCAGTATGAATGACTAAAAGTTTATTTCTTTTCTTGAATATATTGTGTTCAGATGACGTGGAATGATATGCGAGAGGCTTATCCTTCTATTCCGCCTGCCTTATTGCGTTTCCTGTTGGAAGAATATGAAGATGGTTTAGGCGTGCAGAATACAATCAACTGGAGTATTGATGAGAAAGATGCTGCTGTAGTTGATGAAGACCGTAAGTTAGCTACTGAAGTTGCTATTTCCTTTAGTATCATTTCTTTTTAATATATATATGTCGTTGTTAATTCGTTGAACTATTTTAATTTTGCTACATGGCAAGTACAGAGTAAAAGTGCCAGTAGCACTTGCTAGCCAGCTGTTTCGCGCATTTGAGAGAGGGTTCATCAAAGGTGCATCGGGAACTACTACAGGTGAATTCAAATTCCACCCAGCTGCTTTGGAGGTCAGAGAATTTGAAAATTACAAAATTTTGGGTGTAGTTTCTTTGTAAAAGCGGACTATTCACTTCATAAACAGGTTTTTATAGTAGGTATAGAAGCCTTCAACTCTCCACAAGATTGCGTCTGCACAGGTCGCCACACACTAGAAAGGCACACATAAAAGTTGAAGACGTATATGTAATCAAACTACAGCAGATGAAAGTGTATAGGAGAAAGAATAGTTAGACAAAGGTTGGTGAAGATTTCCGGAGTATGAATACTGAGGAGGACTCAATATATCTATATCACTGTGGATGGTTCTGAGCTGTGTTGTAAGATCTTAAGTCATTGGTTCTTTAAATATTGAAGATAACAACCAGACCATCTCTGTTTTTCTGGTTAGCACTGAGATTTTGGGCATAGAAATGATTGGACTATTGCACAATTGGAGTCTAAATATCTGTTTCGGAAGAAACAGTGAGTTTCACTGACTCTCATCATCAACAGGTTTCCACTAGGTGGTCCCCTCATGTCTGCAGTTGAACTGACATTGGCGTTGGTTAGCTAAGATAGTATTGTTTCTTATGTGTGAAATTAATTCCGCTCTAATTAAAGTGATCGTCAGTGATTTAATTGATTCCAATTATTGAAGTTTATGAATAAAGCGAGAACAACAGTTTTTACGTAATAAAATGGTACCATCATTTATTTCGCTAGCATCTCATCACCTGCTGTCAGGCCAAAGTCATCATCAAGGATATCTACAGAAACAATTTTAACATACTTGCACAGAGTTCATTTTTAAACAAACATCAATCAATCAGTCAATATATGCATACAACAAAAATATATTTTTGAAAAGAATGGTCACTGAACAATAATGATCACACACGATGGAAACTGTCGACGTTACGTAATCAGATGAAAGAGAGGGTGAAAATATCCAGTTACCAGGACAAGGAAAGACTGATAACCGCTTCTTTCTGAAGGCATAAATAGGGTTTCAGGTGATTGATGGAGGTTGCTTCAGTAAACTTGGGGGGAGGAGAATTGAACTCTTCTGACTATTGATAATTTTGAAGTATCTTGTGACGTCCGCCTCACGATCCGTGTCAAGGATTAGCCTAGCGATTGCACTGTTTGAAGCATTTGTTCCCTTTAGACATGGACATTTTGGTAGATGTTCAGAAAATCGTAGGTATGCTCTTCTTACTGTACTTCCAATGTAACTGCTTCCGCGGATACATGTAAATTTGTATGTACAGTTGGAGTTAACATGAGAAGAAAATCTACAGATTTTTGATGACACCAAAGACCAATTTGTTCGAAAGACAGGAACCAACTTACCTGCAGGATAGCCTCTGCCTAGTGATGTCCACAGTCTTCTGTTGACAATTACTGTTATATTTTCGCCTTTATAATCAAGTTGAATGTAGATGGACTTTTTCTCCACTGTGATTTTCTTGACATTTGAGGCTTCAGATCTTCCGTACTTGTTTATGAACCTTTAAGGGTAACCGTTGTTTTCAGCATCTTCTCGACAATCGTGAATTCTTCCTCTAATTTCCCTGCAGAGCATATTCTCCTCACTCTACAGTACAGAGTCTTGACTACTACTCGTTTAAAGCTATTTGGACAAAAACTATTTAAAATGCAGGTCCTGTCCATTCCTTGTAAGCTTTCAGTAAACTGACTTCTGGAGACTACCATCTTCCAGGCTTTACAAGGCAATGTCAAGGAAGTGGAACTTTCGATTATGTTCATGTTCTTTAATAAATTTAATATTTCTGTGTACGTCATTATTGCACACTACAAATGTGTTATCGACATATCGACAATAAGAAGTTGTGCCATCGATTGCCTGCTTCAGCTTTGTTTTTAAAGAGTTGGACTTGAATATATCTGCTAAAACACTGTATTGCCCATAGCTACACCATTTATTTGGATGTAAAAAGTGTTGTCAAGCTGGAATTTCACATTCATGGTACACATCAGCAGTAGGCGTTTGAATTCCGACTGTGGGAGTGAGAGAAGATCAGAATGCTGTCAAATGATCTCAGTAGTTTCATTGACTGTGATCCTTGTGAACAAGGAGGTTGCATCAAATGACGCCATGACCTCATGTGGTTCGAACTTTCGGTGAAATGAAATTAGTCTAACATGATGTACACGGCTAGCCATTGACAAATGGAATCCAACTTCTCTCAGAGGCAACGAACAACCTTATGCTGAGGCGAGTTGATCATCGAAAGTATGGGTCTCAGGGGAACTTGTTTTTTGTGTGTCTTTGGAAGGCCATACATGCGCGGCAAATGAAACCCTAGGGGTTTTAAATGATTGTAAGTATTGTTGTCAATCAATTTCTTCTTTAGAAGATCTCTCAATACGTTTGTGATGCGTTTTTCGGCTGCATCTGTCTTATCTTTCTGGAAATCGTCAACTTTAAACCTCAATGGGTCACTTAACACAGCTTTCATCTTTGTTATGTATTCATCTCTGTCCATCAGCACCACTCCTGAGCCTTTGTCAGGTCGCGATATGACGATTTTGTCATTATTTTTGGGAGCCTTCAGTGCTCAATGATGCTCTCCATCCTCTTTTAAAATCCCTTAAGACTTCACTGCTATGCATTGTATGGAATAACTTCCAGATATAGTTAACAACTTGGCCTCCTAGTCCAGTTAGTCAATTGGTAGATCTATAGAAATTTTCACGTCAAGAAAATCTGTAACAATGAAGATGTTTTTCGACCTTCAGTCATTACGTTTTCCTTCCAAGCATATTGTCACATTCAGTGAAAGTATGCATTAGTTTGTCAAGGTGGAAATAATTTAGACGTGGAGTGTATTGATATAACTGCGCATTCATACTTTGAAAGTATCAAATAAATAGCCGATAATCCAAGTGAAAATGGACCGGCAGTCAACTAATTCTATCTAATTTCACCAACCAAACTTACTTCATTTTGTTGTATATTTTGCCTATCTGTATAAGATTAATCACATGCAATCTGATTAAAAGCAATAAAATCCAGTTTATATCTTTGTAGCTGTCAATCAAATATGAAATAAGTACGAATATGATTCTGTCTCGATCTTATGTGCCAGGGGTTTTTTTTAGTGAATGAAACTGACAGTTATGCCAACAATACGATATTGTAAAGCGCAATTATTCAGATACTTAATTTGTAGAGAAATTCCTTTAAAAAATGTTAGATTGATAACACTGACAATGTTTGACAAACTGAAATATCAAATGCAGATAATCGATAAAGCCAATTGACTGAATTCACTCATCATTTGAAAATTCTCCTTCAGTGTTGAAGGACTGCCTGAAGTTCAGCTTATGAATAGATTTGAATTTACGCGTATTTCTTGACACTTTACTACTAACTGTGTTTGTAACATCGAGTGTATAGCAAGTAGAGCGGTTGCATTTAAGATTGTCTTAAGCCTTGGTGATATCAGTTTCTTACTTTTTCAATTAAAATAATTAGTCGATAAGCTCTTACTTTTGTCGTAAGCCAAATCCAACTGGTAACACTCGACAAGTGCTTTATCCTGTATTCAGACTATTCAGTGATGGACACTCTTACGGCTCCTCCCAGGGATCAAACACTGAAGTTGCAAGAATGTATTCACTTGACTAGTTAGTTGGAAGCCAAGTTGCCAGCCCGCGGTATGCCATCACTACCACACAGGCCAAATGTATGTCGTCAGATTCATTACAGAAGGTCATTTCTTTTGTAAGCTAAATGAAATTCTAGTGAAATAATCTGTCATTGTCTATGTTAAATTCTCACTACTGAAACTTCCTAAATCAGAGTCCATTACTAACTGATGGTGGACCTCGATGAAATAAAAAGCTAAATCTGTAAGTCGATAGATTTTATAACAATTAAACCACTGTAGTTTGTTAGAATGATTCACTACCAGGAAGTCATCACTGAAAATGAAACAAACAAGTAGCTGTTTGACTACTCATATTTCATAATGCCAGTGAAATTATAGAACCAGACTTTTGATTAGGTCCTACTTTCACTTCATTCAATAAGGACTTCGCATCGATTTCATGAGTGGCTTGAAGCTATGAGTTCACGATCATGACATTTCCTGCTTACTCGTTTCTAATCCTAGTGGATTTTATAGGATAAAGATTACAGTAATGTAAGTGATTAATGTCTTTACTACTAATCTAAATAATTTATTGGCTCATTATCCGTGAAAATCTTCATTAACTGCAGTGGATTTACATCTCTGAGCATACCATTTTGAATACATCTTCTCATCAATCTAAACATATTTTAATTAAACTGGTTGGTTATAGAGTCTTCTATGTTGTACATGCATAATCACTTAACTTATTGCAAGATCAGTTTGTTCTTTATGATAAGAACAGATCTTGTTCAGTTTTACTTGTATTTACTTTGTATTTCTCAAAACCATAAAATTCATCAACACAGATTTTATGATATTATAACTAGTCGGATCAGGTTAATCACCTGTTAGAGCACTGGATTAATATTCTTGGGGTGAATGGTTGAAATCTTATGGCAAGTCAGAACATCATTTTGCCTACGTTCATCAGTTTATGCAGGAGTAACAGCAGGCCAATGTAAAGTTATCAAAGTTAATTTCAACAATTTTTTAAGATTTTTGTAGAAGTCTGTTCGCATAACGTAAGACAGATTCTTTTTTAGTTACTAAGAGCATCACTTAACACACTGTTCGCCTGTTCAATCCCCACACGAAATGATTAGACTAGGCATCAGCAGATGCTACACTAATGTCCTTTGTCATGTTCTAAAATAAGTTATCCAAATTCGCCTTTTAAACTGGATATCAAATCAAATAGGAATTTCTCATAGAAGCACAAATGATTCAAGGAGTTATCAGTTTCAGCTGAAAATTACAACTTCTGATGAAAGAGGAAGTTTATATTGCAACATTTTTACTGATTTCTTTTTCTTTTTTCATTTATCATCCTTTTAGCTACCGACTTAATTGAGATAGCATTGAAAGGTTGGAAGTCCAAAGAACGCTTGCGTCCAACAAAGTCGAATCATCAACAGTCACCTCCTTATAAACCAATGGACCCATACGGTTTATGCACTCAAAATACCATGAAAAATTGTATTTATCAGCTGGATACAAAACTGGCATGTAAGTTTATCAATTCAACTAATCTTCCAGCAATATAATAATATTAATTCTTGCACATAAGATTAATTAATAACTTTACAGAAATTTATTTATGAACGGTAATCTTCAGAATAAGTTAACATTGTTCATTCTTTGTAGAGATAATCATAGCATGTTTATTCCAGAAATATTAAAAAAGGGAAACAGAGGTGAGGGTTAGGAATAAGTTTACTAATGACAATGGTTATGTTGTAGTTCCACATTGATACTCTGCTTACTTGTAGAGTACCGTACTCTGCTAATACTCCTCTTTCAACTTATTACTTTTATTCAAAATTTCCCGACTGCTTTACTGTCACACTTCAAATAATTTCTGCTGCACTACATATATATATATATGTATATATATATATGTATATGTATATATATATGTACATATATATACATATATATATGTGGTATATGGTTTTCCTTGGTCTAACCATGAATTAAATCCCAGCACTTGTTAGTTATTTCAAGTGTAAATATTCTCTTATTTCATAGATTTTCTTTAAGAAATGATAAACGAAGCTGTAACATGCATTAATTTATAATGAAGGCTTATGTACTACAGAAAGATGAAAAACCATCTTTTACTGTCTTTTCACAGTTTCCAATTTTGTGTTAACTGAACTTGTTAACGCTAAAGTATTTATCAGTTTGAAAGTGATTAATACCATTTGATAGTATGTGTTAGTGTTCGCTTCTTCACCAGTTATGTACAATGCATGAACTAAAAATTCAATTGAATAAATATAGACCTTTTGAAACGCTTCAACTTTGCATCACTTGCACATGTCGTAGAGTAGTCGCATACCATTCAACTGAAACTTCCTCTTTATATGTTTCATATTTCACTCGTGAACTATTATTTTCAAGGTTATAGACTTATGGTGACAAGATATAGCCTTCATATGGATTTTCAGTTGACTTTGTTTGACAAAGGTGACATTAAAAACAATGTGAAAATTTTAACTGATGATATATACAATGATGCAAAGTTTTAAATAGTATATTTTGAACTATAGCATTTACTGGAGGAATATACAAAACTGTGTGTTTCACTTGTCATATGAGCTTTCACTACTACCGAGAGTTATACAGTATTGAATACTCCTGTCGTCCCAGTTAAGTGCTCTTCCCAGGATAACAACACCAATAGAATTCGTGACTGTCAGATGATTGCGTTATGGAAGAATTACTATTCACATACTGTGTGGGAATACAATTGCATAGATCAAAGATAACATTTATTAGAACAGAACTGAGGTTGAGTGCTATTCGGTTTTTATTGCTTCGGTGATTTATGAAGTAGTCCACTTTGAAATAAAGTGTATCCCTACAACCACGCGTCGGCCAGTTGAAAATGCAGGCTAAATACTAACATAAGCTGAAAGATTATACTTTGGAAAGTGTAACAGATATACACACAACCATGAAATACTTTACAACTGTTTAGAAAATGTAATGTCTCTCTTTAAAGTAATGAACAAGCAGAATATTAAAGAAAGGACGACTTGTAATAGAAACATAAAACAAATGTTAAGCCTACCGAAAATGAATATCATTAGTAACTGTGCCCTAGAGCAGAAGTAACAGACTAAACACGCCAATACAAAATAAAAACGATGAATATGCAACTAATTTACGAATTCTGGTGAAGCATTAAAAATATTCAAATACCTGATTGTAGTATCTCAGAAGTAAGTGTAGTCAAAGTTTGGTTGTGTAATATACACAACAAAAATGTCAACCAGAAGGAGGGAGATTGTTTCCGAATAACACGAGAGCATTGTCTCATCACTGTGTGAATCTTTCTTCATCATTCAAGCTTCTGATAAAGATTTCTGAAAGATATATAGAATGTAGATCATCTGAGTTCTTTTTTCTATTGCCCGACAGAGTTCAAAGCTTTTTGTAGCAAGTTGTGCAGTGTGGTAGATAAAAGATTTATCCATTTCTCATCTTTAATTTTCTTCTTCAGTGCTACTGAGAACTCGAGTAACTTGTCTTCAGGCCTTTCTCCCTCTCAGTTTCCTGCTCTTTCACTCTTCGTTGTTTAATATTCTCGGCGTTAATCAGTCTATTTCGACAGGTTTCCCAATAGGAAAAAATACTTATTTCAGTTCAGTTCTTGAGCAGTTGCACTGATGAGCAAACTTTCAAGCTGTGCAGATGTTGAATTGTGTTCAGATTCACCCTTAGGCTAGAACTTTCTCCATTCCCTGGTGTAAAATAATGAGGGAGATTTGTAGCTGAGGATGAATGTGGAAAATACTTGATGTTATCAGTGCCTTAGTCTTTTTGATCGTAAATGTTTTGTGCATTCATCAGTACTTAATTCATTAAGTTATAAGAAGGTTGAACTGATAAACAACAATCATAAATCTTTTAATAATAAATAAATCTGATCCATCTATCCTAGTTTTCAGTATAAACAAATGTTCTACATGATTTTGTCACAGTATTGACTTATTTCTGCGTATTTCTTTATTCAGCTAATCAATCACCAGTTATTCATTTTCGATGGCAAGAATTAATTCGACAGTTTCCCCCACCAAGAGTTATACCACAGATTCATGGAAATCGTAATTCTGCCTTTAATCGATCAGCAATACGTCATAAATTAGCAGTAACAAATCGCAAACGATTGCCAATAAAATCGAGTAATGGTAGAACAAGTGTATCACCGTTGATGATTAATCAAGGTGCACTTATAGAGAATACAGAATTCTCACCATTACCCAGTAAAGCGCAAACAAGTCAATTTTCAAGCTCAATAAATTTAACTAATGGTATGAAACCGAGACCTTCGAATGGTGAACCTGTGTGGCGTGGAAATCCTGTAAGTTTAAATTCATATTATATGTATATATATATATTATATTTTTGCTATTTCTTAGCTTATTTGTGTGATTTAAAGGTTATCCTACCTGCCATACTCGCCATAGATATTAGATACTCTAATAGTGCTGGCATCACTATACAGTTGAAATATCCTCTCATACAGTAAGCAGTTATACATTTATTAAGATATCAGCATTACTGATATAACAATTAGAGGTTAAATGGTGGATGGTGACTTACAGTGGAATGCAGGATGCACATTTCGTCTCATTTGGGACTCGTCACTGTATGTGCCTGCATTCCCCAGTGAGTAATGATGTTCCCACCGAGGCTCGAACCCAGTGCCCACAGTTTCCACTATGGGTTATCCACTAAACCACCTGAGCTTCAGCATTATGCCTAGATGTTTTCTTTTCTATTCACTTGAGACAAGTGAGAATTTTCGATAGTTGGTAAGTGTAGTTGCCGGCATGATCTACACAGTTATCCTTCTATTATTATTACTGCCACTACAATGACATAATGTATACTCTATCAGCAGATACAAACCACAGGTTTATAACTAATAAGATCAATATTAGTTGTTAAGAGACAATTTTATTAGATTTCTCATATGTATCCATTTTTTAAAATACTAAAAACAAATTAAATTACTAACATGAACATGCAAACAAGGTGTATTTGTTTATCACACTCAGTTTCAAATAACACGTTGATAAGAAAAAAAAGCTAAAATATAATCATTTGTCATGGCGCCAGAACTGTTGGATTAAATTAACTGTATGAACTTGTTTAATTGTCGTATCGACTTCTTTTACTATTCAAATATTCTTAAATGTATTACATGGTAGATAAGTCTACTGCGGTATGTTTATAATTCGATTGCTATTATAAGCAGTTATAGCCAGAGAATATGGAATATATACCAATGGCAATCAGGACGACACTCCTTCCCAATCTCTACAAAATAATTCATACAAAAATGAACTAAATAAGTTTAACGTGTGTAGAGAAAACTAGACACACATATTATTGAAAAATGTTCAATTGATGGGATGCCTGCTTTGAGTAAGTGGAATCCACTTCTTCTCAACTTAGCACAATACTCTGGAAATTCAAATTAATTGCATACCTATCTAGTTGAAGTCAGTGTGTCCTTGCAGCAACTACAAGGAAAAGATGCATCGATATATTAATGAATATAAGCAACACACCAAAGTATATGAGCTGATAAAATGATCAGAAATTTAGGATTTCAACTCTAAAGATGAGTATCATATCACACCGTACAGAAGAAAATTGTATGTGTATGTTAAAATGGCCTAATTTCCACTATTCATAGAACATACTTTACAGATAAACTTATGACGATCGACTGAATTGAACACCTGTTTAAAAAATTCACTTAAAAATATACAAATTGACTATTATGCCAGTAATATATTATCAGTTTGTATTTGTGTTCACCCAGATGCATGAAGGAAAAACTGAGTTGTGCAATATATTTCAGAAGGGCTCCGGAAACAGTTGAGCTCTCCAATGGCAATAAAATTAACTGGCAGACAAACATTTTCATTTATTTAAAACCACATCAACGAAATATATTTTGATTCTGGAAATCACTGAAACAATGAAAATTTAAGCTTACTTGCTCATGTCTTTCTCTCTTTGGGCTTGACTGAGACATTACCGTTCTCATATTTGATCTGATCCCAATTACATTTTGGTATTGGGCATTTTAAATGGTAAATATGTGAATATAATGGAATTTGTGTTTCATGATACTTATAGAGAGGATCATATTCTCGGTGGCTAATACTGATAGAAAAATCCAAAAACGCGGGTTTTTTCCTGTCTGCGACTCATGAGATAGATTTCTCTGTATCTCAGGGAGTGATTGTGTCTCTGTTGACAATTGAACCTAGTATCTATCACTCCAAAAGAGAAAGGCTGCTGAGCCTAATTACAATAAATGATGACTGACAGCAGTTGCAACATAAATTGTGGAAGCCTCTATACTAAGAACTCGCTTATCAACAGGAAATTCAAAACAATTGCCATGAGTTTCTGCTACTTCAGAACTTCAAGCTTAATGCGCTGTGTGCTAAGGTTTAAAGCATTCACTTTGCTAACTATCTCAGGTCACTGAATGTTAAGTTGGCTACCATAACATATTCCAAACACTGGTTCTCATATCAGTACTCAGTGAAATTAAGCAACGTGAGTTCCGGTTAGTATTGCATAGGCAATCGACTAGAAATACCGGGTGTTGTCAGCTTTTTACACTCCATAGACCAATTCCCAATCACAAATCAATGTCCCAGTGGCTGAATCGTCAACAAGCTGGCCTCATAACTTCAAACTCCTGACTTCGATCTCTGGTAAAGTCATGACTAATAGATAGTCCTAAACTAGAACGAAACAGCTATTCACTACTCCATGGTTTTGCATCATGGGTTTAGTGGTAGAATGCTCATCAGAATATGTTTCGGGATGATTTTTGGCTGACCCACTCCTCTACCTGTCCCAGTTAACTAACTGGTAGTAGGCCTACTGCTCCTGAAATTTAGGAGCTTAAAGCGTGAAGTCCTATGTTACCCTCAGAAAGCAAGTAATCAGAAAAGTTCAATGTTCAAGTAGTTTTTTTTTAGAGGAGTGAATTCAAAAACTGAGATAAGAATTACTTTGATTCAACTAGTAAATTGTCAACAACAGTGACAATGGCAGTGATAATGACAAAAAGCAATGATAGAGAAGATGCCATGATCATGTTTTATTCCCCAAGGAGAAGAGGAATAAATTAACTCCTAATTCTTTAAGCAACTTATAAATTCCCGTTAGCTATTCAAAACAAGAAAGATTCGAGTGAAAAATTATTTTCAACAGATTGTTTCACAGGTTCTACATTTGTAGATCTGAACAAATTATATTTACAACAGGCAATAAAGGTAGAATTATAACCATATCTGAACCGGTTATACAGTAAAAGAAATTGAGTGTTATTGAATTAAAAGACGGGACGCTAGACAGTTAATTTGAATTCATGAGAAATGAACAGATATATGACTGACGTCTTTGTACAATAAATAAATAGGATAAACTTAAGGAAAATTCTGAGGAGGACAGAAAATAATGAGCATAATAGTGTGATACAAACTAGGCTCTTTTCACAGGGCGTAAGAAGAGCAGTTAGAAGCTAGTTAAGGTGTACGGGAACATAATGAAACATTGAGACATAAGGTAATCAAGCCTACGATTAACTTATGATGGGCTAGAGTAGATATAGATGTTGAATGTACACTTTTGAATGCATGGTTTAAGTTTATTCTTATTGATTCCAATAACTTCAATCATGGATAAGAGTCATAACTGTGTACTTTAAGGCATATTGTTCGGCAGTTGTTACATGATTGAAAATGCGATTTCTATTTTCATTTTATATTTACTTTCCACTAAATGATGTGAGATGACACTGTTCATTGTCCTAGCTACTCCTTATCCTAGGCAAACTGGTATTTTGAATAGTTAGTTTGTAAGGATTAGATTTGTTTTGACCAGTTGATCATGGATTGATATCAGTCAGAGAACCATTGAAAACCAGGGAATACTGGACAGCTGTTTCATCCTAGTTTGGGAATCATCGACCTTAAGCACCCACTGGGGTTCGAACCCAGGATCTTTCGATTACAAGGCAAGCTTGTATATCCAAACTAGGATGAAACGGCTGTCCAGTACTCCCTGGTTTTCAGTGGTTCTCTAACTGATATCAATCTGTGATCAACTAGTCCAAACTGGTATTTATTCACAAATTTGTAGGGATATATATATATATGTATGTAAGTTTAATTTGTTTCTTCTTCTGATACGATCGATAAAAATATTTGCGTCTATTATTTTCTTTTTCATAGTTGTAGACTAATACTTTGATATTTGATTTCAATTCATTTGGTATTTAAGATTTCAGATATGAACAATCAACCAACTGGTGGTTTGGATAATAATCAACAAGCGTTTTATTATTTAAAAGGATTAGCTGCTTCCATTGGTGGAATTGATTTAATTGGTAATGGCAATAATAATAATAACAATAATATGTATCCGGATTTGAATTCATCATTTGAGCCTAAATACGCACACCACCGACAGACAGGTAGTAAAATGAATTACTATCCCCAGGAGAATGTTTATCATAGTCAAGTATTTAATCGTAAAGCAATCAGTCCTCAGTGGTCAAGTCAAATGTTAGACACTAATAGAACAGAGACACCAATATCTCATTGGTATTTTGATCCACGTCTTCAAGGTCCAAATGGTTTATCACAAAGCGTAGGAGATTTTAATAATGGTTCAAGACCACCGTCAAATTTCCCTTCACTCAGCCGCCTAAACATAGATCAGTTGAATGAAACTGCCAATGACTGGAAACAATATCGGATGTCATTACTTGGTCAAGGATTGGATAAAATTAGAACATCAAGAGCCGGTTCTAGGTCGGCTACACCGGGACTGATGTCAAACCGAAATGTCAGCAGCAGTATGTCAAATCTACCAACAAATCCTGTTCCTAACCCTTTTAAAATTCCAGATGTTACAATTCAAGAAACAACAGATAATAGTTCGGAAATAGTAAGTGAGTTGGATAGAGCAAGAGATACAGATTCTGATGCAATGAGTTCTGTGAATCTCTTGGATATGAATCCAGAAAGAGGACTTAGTGATGTGTTGTCGCGAAGCGGTTTGGGGAATTCAGTGTCCAATGTAACACTTCATAAAGAGCCGAATTCTGGATTCGGTTTGGTATTGGTTGATGGTGAGGTAAGTATACTCAGTTAAAAAATTAAATTTCCCACAAGTATTTGTATACATACAGATATATATATGTGTATATATCTTTTGCTAAAAAATTTATTTTTAGCGTGAAACTAGGATTTGTATCATATCATACGTAAGCATAAACATTCATCAAAAACACTAAATATAAATTACTTCTTGCACAAAAAAACAGATGTTGAAACTATCAACTGTTCAGCTTTAAACCACTCAGTAAACTTCAGCATAACAGATACAGTAACTCGAGGTTAAATACATGGTTGAAGTATTCGTTTTTATTACTCTTCAAGACTGTCAAGAAGCGTCTATTTTTACTTGGATCTTGTTATGTTATGTTGGTGCAAATTTTGTGTAAAAGTTTGATCTATATTAAAAGTCTAAAAGTTAAATTTGGTGGGATTCAATTGATGATATCATTATGTAGTAAACTGACAGAATTCGTAGATCACTCGATTCCTACCTAGTGTCTGACTGATGAGGTAATAACCTTGTTTCTAAATCTTTCACATCCTCAGTGGGATCACGAGCGAGGACCACTGAGCATCCTCCATACAGGACAATGCAGCCTTAGAGTGCTGCTTGGTTTGCAATGGTTCTCTAGCTAATATTTTATATTTCCTGACTATATTAACATTGAAATTCTATTGAATGACTTCACGATAGCTAAATATACTCCAAGTATTCAGACTGTGTTTTCTGTCAGATAGATTCATGTAATTAATTTAATTACTTATTGGATATGACGTAACGCTGAACTATGAAGTGTTTACAAGTAGATAATACTTGGTAGAGAGGCTTCTGAATCCATTCAATTACTGTTTCTGTTCACTAAGCTAAGAAGAAATTTGGTATCTACAAATTAAACGATTCAAGATGAAAATCCACTGTGATTATCTTTGGAAATCTAGAATAAGCAGCTAGCAGTTTGCAGCTCACCAGAACTAGCGGTTAACACATGAGTAAACTGTAACTACTCACACCAATAAGTTGTGTATATATACCATATGCTCTATGCTGCAAATAAAAATAAAAATAATGACTACAAAGTGGAGTACTTGTAAAAGTTAATGCATCAATAACTTTTGCTATCACATGTTATCCTATTTAAGTTTTCGCATCAATTAGCTCATTTTATCAGAGAATATTTTGTCTCGTCATCAGTTCATTTTAGACAGCTTTAGACCTAAAATCAAACATGCTAATTCTTATTGACTCCTAATGGTATTATTATTTCCCGGTTGCAGAAAATTTGATTATTTGAATTGAACCCTTGCAACATACTTGTTGTACTGCAACAGCGATCATCACGGATCTGAAAAACGTTTGATATGTAAATACAACAGGTTGCCGTGACTTCTCTTTTATTATTTCGCGGATTCCTTTCAGCTGCTCACGACCTGAACAATACCAAAATATATAAATTACGGAAACGTCTGAGCACAGTTTTATCAGACTGACAGTGGTTTATGAATAGGAATCATGAACAACTGAAGTGTTATGCTACTGAATATTCGTTGAATATTCTTAATGTAAGGGATACAGCTCAAACCTGGGAAAGAAACGAAATTTAACTAGAACAACAGGTTACGTAACTACGAAGAGTAATTTTCAATTGTAAAATGATTAAAAACGGTAGAATGAGTGACTTCTACATGAAAAAGATTGAAATACAACAAAAGGTAAAGGAGAAGAAATGACGCAATAAGATTGTGCAACTTCGTGATGTATACATAAATACCAAGGCAGTGCAGGGTTGACCACTTATTCTTTCTCACTGCATAGATTTCATTTGATTTGTTTTATAAGGATTGCCTAGGGTAAAATGTAGCAGTCTGGGTTTTTATTTTCAGTTAATTATTTTGAACGCCTTCAAACTTTTCATAATACGACAATAAGTTGAAGAAATCTTCCGCATCTTTTCCTACAGAGAAAGAATGTGTACACGATACATCAGTTTTTGCACAAATCCACTTCTTGTAATGAATAGAGCAGAAGCTTTTGAAAATCAGATAAAGTGCGCTCCATATCACTTTCTGTTAGTGTGCCTTAAGATTTAGTCATCCAGTACACTTTGGATACCAAGGTAGAGAAAATTAAATGTTTTTCATATCCTATGGTAAACTTTATTTTAAAATAAGCATTATTCAGAAGATTTATTATTTGTGAGAATATTACTGTAAATATCCTGTAAACAGTCTGCCCTTTCACACTTAAGTCGGCTGTAATTCCTGTCCATAAATCAGTGTCAATGGGATAAATGCATGTTAAGACTTTTTTCTATAATTTACATATTTTGGTATTCATTTTATAAGCAGTTGCAAAGAATCCGCGAAATGATAAAAATAAATCCACGCGATCCTGTTACATTTGTTATTTTTACTTTTTACAAGTTTCTGAATGATAAGAATTGTATGAATTTCATTTTCTTATCACATTTACTCCATTAGAGTATTTTACTAGAATTGCACTAGTATGCCGGTTTATCAGTTTATGACTATTATTTAGATGTACAATAGATGTTAGGTAGCTAGAGGCAGTCGGTAGGATGTCTTGAACCTAGGTTTAGTGTTTATTCACAATCATCAGCAAGCCATAGCTACAACCTCAAAGGAACTGATTGCCATCTAGGATTCAAACCTACGTCACCTACGTCTATAGAAAGAGGCGTTACCACTGAGCTATTTGGTCCCACGAGTAACATAATATAGGACTTTAATAGATATATTGATTGATCACAGGGGAGTAACTGATGTCACATGTCTAACCCATAGTGTTGCTGATGACTGAATTCTATCAGTAAAGTTTGCACAGTTTTCACCAAGTTAGATAGATGACTCGCTATCATAGTACACTTTAGGCTGATATTAGGTAATTTCATGCATTTATTCCCCTTCATGAATTTGAATAAAGCAAGAACAACACTTTTTGCAGAATAAAATGGTACCATCATTTATTTCGTTCGCTTCTCATCAGCCGCCTACAGGCGAAAGTCATCATCAAGGATATCTACAGAAGCAATTTTAACATATTTGCACAGAGTTCATTTTTAAACAGATATCAATCAACCAGTCAATATATGCATTCTATAAAAATATTTTTTTGAAAAGAATGGTCACTGAAGAATAATGATCACACGATGAAAACTGTCGACGTTACATAATCAGATGAAAGAAAGGGTGAAAATATCCAGTTACCAGGACAAGGAAAGACTGATAACCGCTTCTTTCTGAAGGCATAAATAGGGTTTCAGGCGATTGATGGAGATTGCTTCAGTAAACTGGGGAGGAGGAGAACTGAACTCTTCTGACTATTGATAATTTTGAAGGATCTTGAGACGTCCACCTCACGTGTGTGGTATACGGAGTGCTGCAATTCTTTGCAAATGTCTATGTTGAAACTCTGTCAGCCAGTCAGTCATCATTATTGCATGGCTACTGATTAAAAAATTTCTGTTATATTTTGATTATTCTTCACTAATCATAAGCGATAATTTTATGAAGAGAAATTAATTTAGATTTCTTTTCTTTTTGTTGCTGTTGCAGACTGATGAACACACTGTATATGCCTACCAAAAAGTTTTACATAAACTCATTGTAAACAGACTCTTCACTGAACTACTTGCTTTCCCCTTTTCGCTGATCATAGAAACCATTTGAGAATGATTGTCAAATGATAGACCTCTGATATTTTTAAATCCACGTTGATCTGTCTTCTTTGGTGGTCATGTTTTCTTAATTAATTACCTAAATTTGTGGCACTGAATTTTGGTAAAAAGGAAATAACTTACTCCAGTCGGTTACTGGAGAGTGATTAGTGTTATACTTTAAAATAGTTTGCACTGGCATTGAAAAACTTTTTCACGTGGTTGTGTTCTCTGAGATTACACTACCTTTAGAAACCTTACCTAACATTCAGATACACTGTAGATATAACTATGAGAGTAGAAGCAGTAATCAGCTTCCTGCTTATTTATTTACGTAGACGACCGCTTACTTCATATGCTTTTATGCATATTTAAATTGTTAAGAGAGCACAACTCTCATCCACACAACTTGCCAGTCAATTACAGATGCGTTGAGACGAAAAGAATTACCTTTTTTACAGTACTAATTACCGATAAATACTAATTCATGTTTTATTTTATTCAACAGCGTACTAGTCTTGATCAGCCTGGCGTATTTGTGAAATCTGTTGCTCCAAACAGTGTAGCTGATATGAATGGAACATTTAGACTAGGGGATAGAATTTTAGCAATCAATGGACGTGATCTGACAAGCATGACATATAAGGAGTAAGTTGGTAAACTTTGATTTTATTTTGTAAAACAGTTATCAGTAGATTTAATTTCTTATGATTTTTTTTCCCGAAGAAAATACGTGATAGAAGTAGCATTTTGCATTTGGTGTAAGATAGTTTCTTGTAGGTGAGAAATCAGCTGTTGTCTGGTAAATTTTAAATTAATGCAGTACGTTACTTCTATTCTAAGCCTTGCATCCAAGTTAATAGCGCCATTGATCAAAGTCTAATAATCATGTATCCACCGTGCTGACCATCATTTCAGAACGCGGAATGATTCATACATACCATGAGATCGAAAATAAAATGAGGAAACTGTAAAATACAAACTCATAGTTGACAATAATATGATTGCTTAGTACCACCTCAAACCAAATTATTCAGATGATTAAATTTTAGTGAGACTACTACGTTCTAACATATTGAAATCAGGGGTAATGCCTCATCTTTTATCATACACAAAATATGTGTTAATCTTATCTAAATAACACATTTTGAGTTGATGTTAGGCTGTTAGGGATGATTAGCAGCAAACCAGCAAGCTACCATTTTGACTGCAAGACCATGTGAAGTAATTCAAACTTCAAAGAGAACATTAGTTTCTCCATGGTTGCTGTTATCCTGCTGACAATTGCTGATAGGCGCAAAACCTCGGTGCAGGGAATCCTATCAGTTGACTCCAACCACCTAAGACGAACGTTGGGCAACTTAGTCTGGCGATCACATTGATAATCTGATTGGTATAATTCAGTCAGCAGTATGAACTTCACAATATAACAATGCTTACACCTCAGTGACCAAACAACAGAATACATTTAGTCATGAATTAGCATTGAAAGCAGTGTTTAGACTGGCTTTGAGAGCTCACTTCAAGAAAACTGCAGCTTGGAGAGCAATAAAACTACTGGTTTATTCACCATCCAACCTGAATTGTTTTGTGAATAATTCACAAATACATTACACATGTAGCTGTTAAAAAATATAAGATATGCATTGTATCAACACACACGATCAATAAAAGTAAACTTATGTTTTGTACTCCAGTCACGTTTACACGTTTACAAACTGTTACCAATATGATCATGAAAAGAGATTACTTTCATAAAAGACACTTGTGTTACTAAAATTAGACAGAAATTTTACAAGACATATGAATAGTTTAAGATTATTGATCATATGAATATGCAGTGTGATTAAATGATTCATTCCACGGAATTATGCAGGCAACTAGTTAGAACTGAACAAGTGTTATTCAGGAGTTCATATATCGAAAAGCATTAGATTTATATAAACTTTTAATCCATATTTACATGAACCTCAGAGATGAATTCCTCTTTTGTATTTGCTTTCTGAATGAAATTGTTGAAGTTAAAAAAATATTCCTTTCCTGATCTTACTGTTTTGCAACTTGCTAGTCGCAAAATGCATAAATCTCTTACAAATCTCAAATGAGAAGAAACCCATAGGCTGTACTTTACACTGTTTATTCCCGGATAAATAACATAGAGAGCTTAAAAACAGTTCCAGCTTGAATAAGAAGTAACTTATAGTGTCTGCAGGATACCACGAAACAATAAACTTACGAAATATTTATTTTGCTACCACTTTACTTACTACATACAAAGTCATATTTCTTCTTTGTTTGATTTTTAGTGCTTTAGCTCTGTTGCGGCAATGTGTAAATCAGACAACCTTTACCGTACTGCGCTGTAATTTACCTGATCCAGAAGCATTGCTGAAACGTAAAGATATCTAAGATAGAAACATAAATGAAACAAAAAACCAATGATCAGCACCTGAAGGCTGTATATTCTTCTTAGCACACATTTTTTAAAGATAAATTGGAATGGATTACATACTTTTTCTCACTCCAATAATCAGTATTATTTTAACAGATTATTTTTCATTTCACCCGCCAAAGAGATTTTCACCGAAGATGAGTGATAGAAATTTCAGTGATAAAGGAAAATATTCTTAACAGATTTCGGTTTTTTTTCATTATGTCTGTTCAATACTTTACAAAGTGCTGAACATATTCACAGAAACACCATCCTAAATTAACTTGAGTAAACAGAAAGATGAACAACTGTTTGAGGAGATTATCTGAATAACTTTCTTTTCTTTTTGTACCCCAATTTAGAGTAAATTCAAAAAATTTCACACTTACAAATAGCTACTTGTCAGCTTACTTCTACTTTAACCTCTTCTTTCCGAAAACATTTCGGTAAACGAAAAACTGGAGATCTTTTAAAAAACAGACATCATTTTAAATAAAATATCCAATTTTCAACCATCTACACCACTTCTCTTCCTGCCTAATGTTTTTGCAGCAAATTAGCCTCAATCAAACCTGGATGCTTCCGCAAACATATATACATATTAAAACACATACATTTATGCATACATATCCTAAACTTAAGTGACTTCATATCTTTTTTTTAAACATTCCTTTTTGTTTTGATGTTTTCTTATCTGACTGAGATCATTAATTTCTTTTGTAATAATTTTGTAGGTATTTGATCAGTTTGCTAACTTGTTTTTTTATTTTTTACATCCTTATACTACTTAAATATTTTTATCAGTATAGTTTTATCAAAGCATTGGAAACAGCTTCATTGATATACATAATAATGCATATATTTTTATCAGTTATTTTGTTCGTTTCGACAATGGAAACACACAGCACAGTCATAGAAAGCTGAATTTTGTATAACTGAATTTGTTTATGACAAACATTAATGTTGTCACTGAACAAAATAAATTTAAGGATAACTGGCTTCATGAATCAACATCTAACGAAACTAGACAAACTACAAAGCACTTTGCAGATCGTTAGTTGTAATTTAAGACATAATGGTAGTGCTAAGTGACTTTTTGTATGCAATCTAACGGAAAATGACCAGTTGCCTTAACCAGCACGTTATCATTGAGTCAGTTTTAATTAGTTTATGTGGATTTGAAGTACAGGTGAATGTCGTTGAGCAATAATCGTTCTTATACTTACACTGATTAACTGCAGACATCATGCCTTCTTATAAGAATCTACAGTAGTGATTATTGACGAAAATTCCCAACGAATAGATAGGAAACATTTGAGCAATTGATTTATCAAGAAACGACTTTAACTAAGACTTGTCGAATAAGCTGATGTGTATCAGAAGAGAACGTCAACAAGTTGTCGAATGTGCTGTGACATAATGATCACAAGGCGTTAGGCACCCAAATCCATCTGCGAATCTGTAGAAACAGGATCTCACTTTAAGATGACTTGTGAAGTTGATTAGATGAGTAACTGTGCAATCCCTCATTAGACAAATAACTCTATTTCCCAACAATGCGAGGAAAAATTAACAACACGACCAATTATAGACTTAAAAAGCAGACAGTGTCGATCTCAGAGACACCTGTCACTGACTCGTTGAATCGTCAATGTCAAACTTTGCAACAACGTGCAGCAGTCTAGTTTGAAACACTGTTGTGCTGCTATATTTTGACTGAACTAGAGTACACGTATCTTCTAGTATTTCTTCGCGTTTATAATTGTGTCCTAACGTTGCGATTACTCGACATCCACAACGTAATTCAAAAGGCACTTGCGAAGGAATACGATAGTGTATTGTTGCAGCAATCAACAATTCAAAAATCGAGCGAGTGCAAAAAGTATCAATTTTTAACATGCAAGATTTAGAGTAATAAACAAATCGAAGTACAATTACACAATGAAAGTATACTGCCATGATGAGTAATAAAACGGGTCACTACAACACTTTGCAAAAGCACACATTAAAGTATAGAAAAGAATTCGAAAGAAACTGAGATGGAGGATAACATACGACAGAGGGAATGATCAAGTGGAGACTGGTCAGAAATCTCAGGATCTGGACGATACAACCGATTCCCAAGCCACTTTACTGGCAGTCTCGAAACACTGGTTCCAGACATTTCGAAAAGCCTCAGCAAGGCTCTCTATACTGCTTGACGTCACTTAGAGTGATGGTGATGACCCCACGCACTGATGACATTTTTTCGTCAGACCTCCCAATAGTTGAATAAAGCTAGTAGCACACAGACGACATCCATAAATACCCTGGCTGTATCAGACTATGTGACTCCGTATCCAGTAATAATTTGTAGGAATACAAAAAGGTTCATCTATGTTCTGACTGTATTTAACACCTTGTATTGAAGTGAAGATTGCCTAGCTCTGATTGTCGTGATGATAAGAGTGACGCTACCCTGAATAGTTCAAAAGATTTGTTTGCTCTCCATTTCGCGCAAAATTGTGAACATTCCCTTTGGAATCCAAATTAACAATCTTCCCCATTCTTGTTCATCATCTGTTAATTTCTTTATTGCCTCGCTTGGAAATACTCCAACCTGAACCGATGTATTTCTTTAAACAGCCTATTTCCATTAGTTAATTTAAAACTCTAAACAATTAGATTAAGATGACTGGATGAACATGTGCCATTGTGGTGACCTTCCAGGCATATCACACGACATATAATACTTGATTCCTAGTGTTGAGAAGACCCTAAAAATACACTACTCAACTCTGTTACACTGCGTTTAATTATCGGCTTTTCTTGTGATTATCAAAGCAAAGACTTTCTCTATTTTCACAAACTCAGTGTTCAATTTAATTTACCTTTCCGATGTACCATATCTGATCACTCCAAACTGCGGTCAAAATATCACGTCCTACCATTTCGTGACTGGTGGTCATCCACCAACTGTATCCATCAATAACTTATATCTACGTGATCCGTTTGTATCATTCGTTGGCTTGGTGAGACAATAGTTCTCCTTATGTGTGAAGTTACTTCTAACCAGAATCAAACAGTTATCTGACCAGAACTGCAAGATACAACCCCGTTTGTTGGTTTTTTGGCACAGAACTCCGTTTATATACCAAATACACTTTTCTCACCCACACAGCTGCGCTACTTGAGCGTTGAAACCAAGGATAGATGTGCATTTGAGAGATTTTCGCCTTCAGCAACAAAATTGGAAGCTCTGACAAAAATCCTCATTCACTTCGTCTAAATTGCAGCCAGTTAGTGATAAAGTGTAGCTTCAGAAAAAGAACTGACGTGAAACAGAGTCTTTCGGTATTCTTACATATCTGTACGGGCAGTAAAACTATATACAACTATCCACCAGGATCCAATGGGTAGTGAGTTTTCCCACCTTGAGGTCAATTCTATCCTTGTAACAGCAGAACGCAGTAGTATTTGGTAGTGGATTTGTTCATCGTTAAAATATAGAAATATTATATTGAAGTCTTCATTTTATTATGTTCTGTTTATTGTAATTCTTTTGTCTTCTCTTCATTTCTTACGTTTTGTTTCACAATGATCTGTAGTGCTCGTTCCGGTACTTCGAGTTTTGTTTTAACGAGTACACATCTTGACTGGTTAGGACACCATTTTGCACTCTTGCCTTGTGCTGTTAACACGCACATTCTCGGGGTTAGCAGTTCAGCTGTACCAACTAGATATATTCTAATATCTTTCACCTAAACAGTCTTAACTTCTTGTTTTATTCAGATATGCTGCTCATCAGGCCTCATTACTGATTAACTGAGTCTTTTTGATTTGCAGTATGTCATCAGTACTTGAAAGTTAGGTAGAGTACTGATTTATTGAGTGATTAAGCAGACTACGTTTAGTAAAGGCTGGCATAACGTAGTCCATCAAAACATTGCCAGCAACTTACAGATCTTTCATTAATCCTCTCTGCTATTTAGTCCGTGACTCCGACGTTCACTATTCTTGCAGAAGCCATCACAAACAAAACAGTGCTTACGAAACCTTGTTAGTGGCATATGACAAACTCTTACGTCATTAAACCCGAGAGAACTAGCGGGTAAGTCTCCAAGTATATTGAAATTGTACATTTACCTTATCTGCTAGATGGAGTTTAGTGGATAATTATACATGGCTCATGCAGGCTCATACATCGTAAATCTAAAGCCCGAAACACCAAATTTTTGGCTGGTAAGTCCTTTCTTAAGATTCGACTAGGATTTTGAAAGTTCCAATAAGCAGGTGGTAACCTGCATCTTGGACACCACGGAATATATTTTTCCGGCCCAAGTCACGAGCAATTTTTACCGCAACAGAAGATCAAAAGGCTGTTAGAGGAATTTGTGGTGACTGATTGTCTCTATCATTAGAGTCTGTAAGTGTTCATTATGATTCATTTCTGTATCTTACAAGTTTGGTGGACAATGAATCATAGCGAGTATGAAATTACAAGTTCTGTCCGCTCAGTATTGTAGTCTGGTATGCTGGTATCCAGTCACTGCAGATTACAATAAAAATAAATATTACATTTCGGCGTCGCAATGGGATTGAGCAACTATAGAATGTTTTCTAGCACTGCTTCACCGTGGAAAGCTGCAGATTAAGCTAAATACTTTAATGCATACTGTTTGAATAGGTTACTTTGTTACTGCGACTGGATTAAAAGAGTATCCTCTACTGCAACCTGTGGCATTTATTAGATAAACCGACTCCGTGTCATACTAGAAACTCCAATTACTTCTAAGAGATCGTTTCTATGATGCTTCTTTTGGAACTCATGAGAAGCACAGTTTGATAAACTTGTGTGTGCTCCATATCAGAAGATTCGGTACCCCATTCTTCAACCACAGATGCAAGTTTTAAAATGTAACTCTGGGGAATAGCTTTAAACTCAAATAGATGACCGCTTAATTGTAGCACCCACACTCAACATTTATAGGGAGAGGTG